GCTCGCCTTTGGATAGCTTCAAGCTGGTTGATGTTGGTGGCTGTGTGTGGGTCCCAGACTGTGCCTGCGTACTCCAGGATTGGTCTAACAAGGGTCTTGTAGGCCTGGGCCTTGATGTCTTGTGGGCAGCTTGTGATGTTTCTTCTGAGGAATGATAGAGAGTTGTTGGCCTTTTTGATGGTAGATTCTGTATGTATGTTCCATGAAAGATTATTTTCGATGTTGACACCAAGGTACTTTCCACTTTTGACAGATTGAAGAGTTGATTGATGGACCTTGTAAGCATAAATGATGGGGCTTCTTTTCTTGGTGATGTGTATGACTTCACATTTGCTGGGATTGAAAGACATCATCCACTTGCGTTCCCATTCCTGGAGTCTATCTAGGTCTTCTTGGAGGGCTAATGCGTCAGCTTCTGATTTGATTTTCCTGTAGATCAGGCTGTCGTCAGCAAATAGGCGGCTGATTGAAGTCACGCACTTTGGTAGGTCATTGATGTAAAGGAGGAACAGTAAAGGACCTAGTACTGTCCGCTAGGGTACACCGGATGTAACTGGGGAGGATGCAGATGAATGGCCTTCAACGACAACTTGTTGGCTGCGGCCAGACAGGAAGCTCTCAATCCAGCTTCTGACTGTCCCTCTGATGCCGTAGTGATCTACCTTGGAGAGGAGTCGTTGGTGAGGCACAACATCGAACGCCTTACTGAAGTCTAGTATTATGGCGTCTACTTGTTCCCCTTGATCCAGGGCTGATGACAGGTCTTGAAGAGTAAGAAGAAGCTGACTTTCAGTTGAGCGTTGTTTTCTAAATCCATGTTGTTGATCTGAAAGGATATTGTGATGGTCAAGGTGTTTTATAATTTGGCTATGTAGGATGTGTTCTAGGAGTTTGCTGCATACTGATGTGAGAGAAATGGGTCTGTAGTTGGCAGGGTTGCTACGGTCACCTTTTTTGAAGATAGGTGATACATTTGCCTTCTTCCAGACTGAAGGTACTGTTCCTTGTTGTAAAGAGGCGTTGAACAAGAGGGTGAGAGCCGAAGTAATGTATTCGGCATAGTCCTTCAGGAATTGTGTAGGAATATTGTCAGGACCAGAGGCCTTATGTGGGTTGAGGCTGAGGAGAAGTTTCTTAACGCCCTCAGCTCCTACTGTGAAGTGAGGCATGTCTGGGTATCTTTCTCCGTCCATGGCTGGCACATCTGTTGTGTCTTCTGTAGTGAACACCCCAGTGAACTGTTTGTTCAATATTGTAGCCTTCTTACTCGGGTCGCTGTAAGTTGTTTTCTTATAAATGAAAAATCAAAAATTTACGCAGACAAATTGCTACATTTATTGTAGCAGATTACACTTTAAAGATTGTACTTGTTTCATAACGTGTGATTCCCAAGAGCTTAATCTTTTGCGTACCTCAAAATGGTGTTTAGCTCTAGATTTTTTAAAAAGGTCAATAGTTTTTAGCTTGACTCAAAGTAATAACTGTAGAAGCAATACGTTTAGAATTATCAATATCTCCCCTTTGAACCTAGAATTTTCTTTTAACAATTTAATTTTCAGCTTGAATATTTGATAATATAAGTAAATATGTATATGATAGTCATCCATTTGTAAGGAATGTTGTGTGTAATGTTATTTGAAGATAAATCCAGTTGAAAAGTAGCGAACAAAATGCGGTTAAGACATTTTTCTGGCATATCGAAGAGGGGTTTCTACTGTTTAAACAGGTGCTTCACCACAAATATCTTACAATGAGTTTGGTACAGACTTGGATATTTTGCAATTTGCCCCATGGTAACTGTTTAAAGTGTAAACAAGGCTATGTCGAGTTCCCACCATGATCTACCCGGAAGCTGTAATACACCCATCTGTAGCAACCTTTTTCTTTAATGACTCATATAAATCCTGTTTCAGATAAGAACATTTCTATTTCGATATTTCTCTCAGAGCAGCTTCTGATCTAAAAATGCAATATTTATTAATAAAAGGCATCATACTGGCGTCATTTTAAAGTGAGTATATAAAATGAGATTGTTTAGTCGACGTTTAAAAATCCTGTCTAATATGCAAGCAGGAATTCTTTTTGTTCAACTTAAATGCCTAACCATTTCGCCGCATAATATAATACTCTTACACACCTGCAGCTCGTGCAGACGTAATGCAACTTGTGTAGACTTAACTATTTTGTACCTGAGGGAAACTGTTTTGCTATTTAATTGTACTAAGAGAGCAGGATATTCCTGCCATTTATGAGAAACAATGCATATTTCATTTTCCTGGATAAAATGCTATACTTACCATGGAAATAAATGTCAATATCATTATAACTATGCATGAAATTTGAAAATATTTCTATTAGCAAATATTATGTCATCTCAAGAATGCAGTTGATTCTTAAAATGAACGGCAATGACATCATTTACAAGCATGCAACAGATCTGTTTAAAGGAAAAAGTCTCATATGGAACAAACATTCATTTTACATGTATGTAAAATAACTTGTGTTATTTTTGAGGACGAAATTGTGGCGTCTTTTATGAAGGAGTTGCGTGCTTATGATGATGGCATTTAGCCATGTTGAACAAATGCGTCAGGAAAAAGACTTAAGTTTACAGTTCCACATGCATTTTCATTTGAATTTCCCCATATCAGTACATTATACAATGAAAGAAATCTTTAAGACCCTGGGTTTCTGTAGAAAATTAAAATGTTAAAATTTGTAAATATAAGGTGAATAATACAAGTGAAATATGTGATGATTTCGTTAATTCCAGGTCTTATTTCCAGCAAGTAAATAAAAGCCGACAAGTTGGACGTTAAAGACGCATTTAGTGAGAAGTTATCATCTGAATTGCGTAAAGGTGATGTTCAAAGAAATAAGATGCTGATCCTATTTTAAATGACACATAGATGTGATAAAAGATTTACGCAACAAAAGTCTCTGAAAACACATATGACAATTCATACTGTCGAGAAGAATCATGTATGTAAAATTTATGATATAGCATTTTCTCAAGAACTATATCTTATAAAACATATGGTATCACAGACTGGTAAGAAGAATTATATATGTAAAATATGTGATAAATCATTTTCTCAACAAAATACTTTGATCATGCATATGACAATACATACTGGCAACAAGAATCATAGATGTAAAATATGTAATAAAACATTTTCTCATCGTGGTAATTTGATCACACATATGGCAATACACACTGGCGAGAAGAATCATGTATGTGACATTTCTGATAAAGTATTTTCCTAAGAACGATATCTTATCATACATATGGCAACACATACTGGCGAGAAGAATTATATATGTAAAATATGTGATAAAACATTTTCTCAACGAAGTTCTCTGGATAGACATATGACAATACATACTGGCGAGAAGGATCATGTATGTAAAATTTGTGATAAAGCATTTTCTCAAGGACGATATCTTGTCAATCATATGGTAACACATACTGGTGAGAAAAATTATATATGTGACATATGTGATAAAGGATTTTCTCAAAAGAGTATTTTGAATAGGCATATGACAATACATACTGGCGAGAAAAGACATAGATTTAAATGTAAAATATGTAATAAAACATTTTCTTATCCAAGTAATTTGATCACACATATGAAAGAAATACTGGCGAGAAGAATTATAAATGTGAAATATGTGACAAATCATTTTCGCAACGAGGTGCTTTGATCACACATATGACAATACACACTGGCGAGAGAAAACATTTATGTTATTTCTGTGGTAAAGTATTTTCTAACCGCTATTCTCTGAAAACACATATGGCAATACATACTGGTGAAAAGAATTATAAATATAGCATGTGATCAAACATTTTCTCAAATGAGTTCTATGAACAGACATATGAGGCTACACACGGGCGACAAGAATCATAAGTGTGTAATGTGTGATAAAGAATTTTCTGCAAGAGTTTCTTTTATCACACATATGGCGATACACACAGGCAATGAAGAAACATTGATAATTGTCAAGTATGTGGAAAAAAACATTTTCTCACCAATGTGAAATATGACAATACACTCTGGCAATATAAAACATAAGTTGGAAATGTTTCATAAAGCGTTTTCTAAAGAAATTCATCTGATCACACAGTCATATGACAATACACACTGTTGATAAGAAACATAAGTGTGATGTGTGTAATGAAACGTTTTCCAAGGAATTCATCTTATCATGCATATGACAATACACACTGGCGATAAGAAACATAAGGTATAGGAGGATTTTCTACACGAGTTTCTCTTATCACACAAATGAAAATACACACTGGTTAGTAGAAACATAAGTGTCAGATGTGTGAAAAAACATTTTTATAGCAAAGTGCACAAAACCTACTTAGGACAATACACTCTAGCGATATGAAACATAGTGAAGTGTGTGATAAAGTGTTTTCTAAAGAAATTCATCTGATCATACATGACAATACACACTGGGGATAATTAAGAAGCATTTTATTAAGTTTGAAGGGTGTGATAAAGCGTTTTCTCAACGAATTCATCGTATCACACTTATGTCAATACACAGTAAGACGATTTTATCATTTAAATATACTGTTTCCTTAAATTAAAGTATGCTGCCTCAAAGAGTGGGCAACACATTAAGTTTACTTTTCGTTAGTCAACTCTTCGCATAGTTCCCAAAGAAAGTCTCCTGTTCAGTGATTACAGTCAGTTTGTAATTAGGATTGTAACACGTGTCAATTTGGAAATGAAATATAGATGGGTCTTTCCAATCAGTAATAGATAATAGAGTTTGCCTAAAATACGAAAGTGACTTTATCGACGAAAGTGAGCGAAAATGACTTTTAAAATATGAATTAATTATAGCGTTTTAATTGACTTTTACAATAAAATTGCAGGTCACTTACGCTCACCTTCGTCAATAAAGTTACTTTCGTATTTTAGGCATACCATTAGATAATATATCGGCTTCTTGTTTAATAATACATGTACTTGTATAAAACGATGTCACAGGGTCATTTGTCATTATATATACATGTATATACTTTACCATTATTATATCCAATATGATATATAGTGCATTTCTTATAAATATATTCTTCCTTATCCATCCATTCTTCATCTCATATTTACTCCCATAGCCTCATTATATCATTCATCATATATCAGACACTAACTATAGTAACTGGTGACGGGCCTCATTTTTTCGCTCATGATTTACCGCCACGCATGCGCACGGCAGATTTGAATTACAGTTGTAGAGTGAAAACCTAACTCTTGTCTTTGTGTTGATTATTTATTTATTTTGCTGCCTCTGTGTGTTTTTACAGGTAATTTACTTATATATGTGTATTGATATATATTCATTCTTCATTTTCTCATTCATCGTTTGTTTCATGATTTTGACGGTTTTGTATATTTATGAAATGCACTGAAGATTTGAATTACAGTTGTAGAGTGAAAACCTAACTTCTGTCTTTGTGTTGATTATTTATTTATTTTGCTGCCTCTGTGTGTTTTTACAGTCTCAACCACAAGAGAGAACTTATAAAAACCCTTCGACGAATATAGAAGGTAACAAATTGGTGGCCAGTGTGACTTTTGTGTTTTTGGGGCGAAGCCGTTGTGGACGAATCGAGGTGTTTCCCTTGACGTCACAGGACTTCCTCAGAGCAGCCAATCAACGCCATAGCTAGCGCTACACATTTTTCTGCTACGTCACTGCATATACACATGGAATTCCCTAAGTAGCATGGAGTGATTTGTTTTTATTCGTTTATTATATAGATCGATCTAACTCTTCATTTATTTGGATTACATTAATTTTACCGGTTTAATTCAACTAGATATCATCATATTTAACGCGTCTTCAAATAATTATAGTGCACTTTGTTTACATCAGGAATTATCATCGTTGGAATTGAAAGTGAAAGTAGACTCTTGACATTTAACAGATTGTCATTTACCAATAAGCTTTTATTTTTCTAGTATATTTGTAACAGTACATCATGTAGTTATATATTTCATATTCATATAGTCTTTGTACTGAATTAGGATGTAGTGAAACATTTCATTATACCCCCAAAAACGAAGTTTGGGGGGGTATATAGGAGTCACCCGGTGGTCGGTTGGTCGGTCGGGCGGTCGGTCGGTCGGTCGGTCCAGACGTCCGTTGCATTTTCCTTGTCCGGAGCATAACTTGAAGACTAATGGTTGGAATTCAATATAACTACATACAATGGTCAAGCACATTGAGAGGAAGTGCAGTGCACAAGAACCATAACTCTATCTTGACTAATTACAGAGTTATTGCCCTTTGTTACTTTTCCTTGTCCGGGGCATAACTTGAAAACTACTGGTTGGAATTCAAAACAACTTCATACAATTGTCAAACACAATAAGGGGAAGTGCAGTGCACAAGAACCATAACTCTATTTAAAGTAATTACAGAGTTATTGCCCTTTGTTACTTTTCCATTGCTTTCTTTTGTCCGGACCATAACTTGAAGACTAATGGTTGGAATTCAATATAACTACATACAATGGTCAAGCACATTGAGAGGAAGTGCAGTGCACAAGAACCATAACTCTATCTTGACTAATTACAGAGTTATTGCCCTTTGTTACTTTTCCTTGTCCGGGGCATAACTTGAAAACTACTGGTTGGAATTCAAAACAACTTCATACAATTGTCAAACACAATAAGGGGAAGTGCAGTGCACAAGAACCATAACTCTATTTAAAGTAATTACAGAGTTATTGCCCTTTGTTACTTTTCCATTGCTTTCTTTTGTCCGGACCATAACTTGAAGACTAATGGTTGGAATTCAATATAACTACATACAATGGTCAAGCACATTGAGAGGAAGTGCAGTGCACAAGAACCATAACTCTATCATGACTAATTACAGAGTTACTGCCCTTTGTTACTTTTCCTTGTCCGGGGCATAACTTGAACACTACTGGTTGGAATTCAAAACAACTTCATACAATTGTCAAACACAATAAGGGGAAGTGCAGTGCACAAGAACCATAACTCTATCTAAAGTAATTACAGAGTTATTGCCCTTTGTTACTTTTCCATTGCTTTCTTTTGTCCAGACCATAACTTGAAGACTAATGGTTGGAATGCAATATAACTACATACAATGGTCAAGCACATTGAGAGGAAGTGCAGTGCACAAGAACCATAACTCTATCTTGACTAATTACAGAGTTATTGCCCTTTGTTACTTTTCCTTGTCCGGGGCATAACTTGAAAATTACTGGTTGGAATTCAAAACAACTTCATACAATTGTCAAACACAGTAAGGGGAAGTGCAGTGCATAAGAACCATAACTCTATCTAAAGTAATTACAGAGTTATTGCCCTTTGTTACTTTTCCATTGCTTTCTTTTGTCCGGAGTATAACTTGAAGACTAATTGTTGGAATTCATTATAACTTCATACAATGGTCAAGCACATTGAGAGGAAGTGCAGTGCACAAGAACCATAACTCCATCTTGACTAATTACAGAGTTACTGCCCTTTGTTACTTTTCCATTGCTTTTTTTTGTCCGGAGCATAACTTGAAGACTAATGGTTGGAATTCAATATAACTTCATACAATGTTCAAGCACATTGAGAGGAAGTGCAGTGCACAAGAACCATAACTCCATCTTGACAAATTAAAGAGTTATTGCCCTTTGTTACTTTTCCTTGTCCAGAGCATAACTTGAAAACTACTGTTTGGAATTCAATACAACTTCATACAGTTGTCAAGGACATTAAAAGGAAGTACAGTGCATAAGAGCCATAACTCCATTTTGACAAAATACAGAGTTACTGCCCTTTGATACTTTTCCTTGTCTGGAGCATAACTTAAAACGTACTGGTTGAAATTCAAAACAACTTCATACAATGGTCAAGCACAAAAAGAGGAAGTGCAGTGCACAAGAACTATAACTCCATCTTCAGTATTTATAGAGTTATTGCCCTTTGTTCCTTTTCTTTGTCTTTCTGGACTTATTACAGAGTAATTCAATAAAACTTCATCAATGGCCAACCACATTGAAAGGAAATGCAATATACAAGAACCACAACTATCTTTAATTGCCCACAACCATAACTCTATATTTCAATTCTTTTAAAAGATATTCTGTTACTAGTAACATCCTCTAGTAACATCCTCATTTCCGAAGCAGTCTTGTGGGGGTATTAATCACATTTAGTGATAGTTCTAGTTTATACTTGAGTTACTGTTTGTTTACATTTTTATCATACATGTACATTGTGTAATTGTTTACATTATTTTTTCCCAGAACTGAGTGAATTCATTGATTTTGTCAGCTGCCATTCACAGTAACAGACACAGTAAAGCATGTAGCATTTCACAGCAATTGGTATTGGTGAGATTAATATTAACATAAATAATATATTCCCTTGAGCCCTATATCTTTGTAAACTTTGACTGATATTTACTAGTATCTACATAGTCATACTGTATTTTGTCCTTACACAGCCAGCTATTTTTCCTTTTGGTATTTTTGGCATACTTTTACATTTTGGCATTAATAGTTTTGCATAGCAACAGCTGGTTTGTTTAAAAAAAAAAAAAAAAAAAAAAAAAAAGAAGTGGTCTGTCAAAATTCATTTAATTTAACTGTAGGTTATAGTATTCATAAATAGTATTTTTACAGCCCTGTGACAATATTGACAAATTGACTTTGACGGTTGACTTTATTATTTTGTAATGGATATTTTCTATACCGGTTAGTACTTTAGGTGTTGAACAGGAATGAGTTAGTTAATGCTGTAGTGCAGAAGATGGTCACAAGTTATTTCACCAACAGCTATGAATATAAATCAGTGTGAAGAATATTTTAGTTTGAGCTAAATATTGTTCAAATAAATGAAATTGTAAATTGGTTTAATTGATTGATACAAGTTACTGAAACCAGTGATAGTTTATAACTAGTATATGTTATAAATTATTTAGTTTGAGAAGATATATACTTGAAAGCAGATCTTGTTTGATATTGAGTCAGATAAGTGCTGCTAGCAAGACAGTTTGCGCGAAATTTTGTGGAAGTTGTTTCATGTTTTTGTCGATGGAAGTATTTTTATTTGGAGCTGCTGGCGAAATACTGTAAGGAAAGGTATTGTGAAATGTGAAATGTTGTTATATTAAAGCAAATAGAAACTGAAGTTGGTTTTGTGTTTTATTTTGGTAAATGTTGATATAGTTTTGACCTTGAGGAGAAGTTGTGCTACAGTGTTTATCTAAAGGGTAAGGTATACTAGTGGTGTCAAAAGTCTGTCGCCTAATAGTTTTGAGCTGAATTTGTTGTTGCACTTGTTTGTTATACAGGTACTTTTAAAAACAGTTCTACCAGATAGTGGAAATTTCTTTTGAAATTTATTGAAAGTATGGTGTACCAGTAGGATCAAAAGAATTTGATTCTTGTTTGTTATTGCAATTGTTTTATATACAGTTACAATACTTTAACCCGAGATAGCGTTCTACCTGTATAGTTGATATTTCTTTTCTTTTTTTTTAAAAAGAAATATATATGGTGTACTAGGGGAGACATAACATTTTTTTTGAAATGTAAAGTAACTACACCTAGTACTTGGTATTAAAAGTATATAACTTTTAAGAGGTATTTGTTTGAAATATCATTTTTGTACATTGTAAAGAAGTGATATTATTTAATTGAATTGTGTGATTTTTATTTTTGCACAATTCTACCATAGTTGTCACCTTGTTTGTCAATTTTTGTCATCATGGATTTGAATAATACTGCATCAGGCTATACTGACCGTGAACTTGAACATTATGCTGATATTATCCGTCGTTCGGGAAAGTTCCATCTTTATTATGTGGAATCTAGCACACCAGCCCCTCCTACTTTGCCCAGGGAAACCTCTCATACCCCTGATAGAGAATTTGCTGCTAGATATAGCACTGGTACCCCTTTACCAGGAACTGGTGCATGTGGTACCAGCCATCCCAGTAGGCATTCTTTGTTTAATACAGGTTCCAGGAGAGAGTCTTCATGTACCCCTGCTGCCAGATATTCATTTCCTAAACCTTATGTGAATACACACACTGTTGATAATAATCCACTTCCTCCACCCCCTATACCTTCTCCACCCATACAGTATTCTTTTTCTCACTCTAATGGTTTACAGCAACCTGCTCAATTTTCTTCTAGAGTACCTAAGTTGCCTGAGTTTTCTGGTGAGGATCCTGATGATTGTGCTTTTGACTTATGGAGGTATGAGATCAACTGTTTGATCAGGAATGCGGTGTATCCTGAACATATTTTACTTGAATCCATCAGGAAGAGTCTGAAGGGTAAAGCCCGTACAGTTCTTTTACATCTTGGAGAGGATGCTTCTGTTCAGGATATTTTGTCTGAATTGGAGGGTATTTATGGTAATGTCTCCAGTGGTGAGAAGCTGAAGGAGAAGTTTTATTGTGCTCAGCAACTACCTGCTGAATCTATTGCAGATTATAGCCTTAGATTGGAACAGCTTTTGTCCAAGTCTAACATTAGGTTTGAGCAGTCCACCAAGAATGAGATGTTATGTAATAGGTTGTGGTCTGGGTTGTATGACCAACATCTCAGAAGTGTATCTAGGTATAAGTTTGAAAGTATCCATGATTATGGAGTACTTAGGAAGGAGCTCAGACAGATGGAACAGGACTTAGAATTAAATAAGAAGAGTCCATCTTCTCTCACACTTCCAGTGAGTAAGGCTAAGTCCTCCCATGTTCAATCCCCTGAGGGTAAGAAAACTCCAGATGTCAAGGTTGAACCTGCTTCCCTGTTAATGTCATCTGTTGAGAATAAGATTCTTCAACAGTTACAGGATTTGACCAACCAGATGAAGCAGCTGAATTCCAGGGTTGGCACTGTTGAGAAGGAACTTCAGGGTTTGAAGAAGTCCAGAAACTACCAGGGTGGATACCAAGATAGGAGCAGATGGAGTGATAAGAGTAAGGAGCAGGGTCCAGCCAAAGAAACACCTAAGGCTAATGACAAGTCTGTTGCAGATAAGGTTCCAGAGAATCCTTTAAACCGGAAGTGACCTTCTCAACAGGGCCAACAGGAGGTCAGCCATTTTTTAAAGGCCCATTTATTGCACCTTTGGTAGGTCATGCCAATGAGGTTGAAGTTCTCATTTGTGGCACTTCATGTAAAGGTCTTCTTGATTCCGGAAGCATGGTTTCTTCTATTAGTGAATCTTTTTATTCATCTTTAGTTCCTAGACCAGAACTTCACAGCCTTACAGATTTTAGTTTGGATATTTCCAGTGCTAATGGTTCTTCCGTTCCTTACATTGGTTATATTATTGTTGATATTGGTATACCAAAGGTTGATTTTAACCCTGTTTCTGTGCCATTGTTAGTGGTTCAGGATACCAAGTATTCTTTTTCAGTTCCTTTAATTGTAGGTACCAATGTTTTAAATTTTCTTAAAACTTTGGCCCCTACCTGTCAGGTACCAGCTGAATGGAGTGATGTTTTTACTGTTTTATCTTCTGTAAATTGCCTTCCTGTCAGAAGTCTTAGTGATATCAGTGTTCAGATCCCACCTTTTGAAACCAAAACTGTTATTGGCAAGGTTCGCAATGTTTGTAATATGTCTGAAGCTGTTACTGAGAATATTGACAATAATGTATCAGTATCTGTTTGTCCAAACCTTGTTCATGTGAAACCTACAATTTCTTTTTGTAGGATACCTGTGAGAATGTGTAATATGTCTGCCCATCCTGTGGTCATTAAACCCAATTCTCTTCTTTGTCGTCTTCAAGATGTAGATGTCGTTAGAAGAATAGATCCTTTTGAAGGTTCTACTGCCAAGATGAACAATGCAGACAAGTCACTTGAGGATTTGGGTATTTCTGTTCCTACTGATATTCTAACAGTAGATGAACATGTTAAGGCCAATGAATTTTTCTCTAGTTGGAAACATATCTTTTCATCAGGCCCAACAGATCTAGGATGTACCAATATTGTAGAACATGGTATTGAACTTTCAGATCCTACTCCTTTCAAGGACCATTATCGGCGTATTCCACCGGGTATGTATGTTTAAGTCAGGGAACATCTGAAAGATATGTTAGCTGCTGGTGCCATTAGAGAATCTAATAGTCCCTTCTCTTCGAATGTAGTCCTTGTACGTAAGAAGGATGGGTCTTTAAGATTCTGTATTGACTACCGTCGGCTCAACAGTAGAACCATCAAGGATGCATATGCCTTGCCCAGGATAGACGAGACCATAGATAGCTTAGTTGGTGCCAAATTCTTTTCTAAGCTTGACCTACGATCAGGTTACTGGCAAGTTGCCATGAAGGAGGCCGACAAGTTTAAGACAGCCTTTTCGGTTGGTCCACTCGGTTTTTACGAGTGTAACCGTATGGGTTTTGGGCTAACCAATGCCCCTGCTACTTTCCAGCGTCTGATGGAGCGTGCTATGGGTGATCTCAACCTTACTGAATGTCTCATCTATTTAGATGACATTATCATCTTTTCTAAATCCAAAGAAGAGCATTTTCAGCGTCTTAATTCTGTTTTTCAGCGTTTGGAGAAAGCTGGTCTCAAGCTTAAAGGTTCTAAATGTGATTTCTTTCGAACCAGTGTGAAGTATTTAGGCCATATTGTCAGTGAACATGGTGTCGAAACCGATCCCGACAAGATTGCTGTTTTAAAGAATTGGCCTGTCCCAAAATCTATCAAGGAGTTAAGGAGCTTTATTGGTTTTGCTGGTTACTACAGGCGGTACATCAAAGGATTTTCTCAGATAACCAAACCACTGAACGATTTGCTGATTGGTCATCCTACCAACAAAGCCAGCAAATCCAAGAATAAAGCTACACCTTGGAAATGGGGTCCTGATCAACAATCTGCCTTTGACTTACTACTTAAGTGTCTTAGTACCCCACCCATCTTGGCATATGCTGATTTCAGTAAACCATTTCTTTTGAATATCGATGCCAGTGGAGTTGGTCTTGGTGCCGTTTTATACCAGGTGCATGATGGTAAAGAGAGAGCTGTTGCTTTTGCAAGTCGTGGGTTAAAACCGAATGAACGGAATTATCCCGCTCATAAATTAGAGTTTCTTGCTCTAAAGTGGGCTGTGAGTGATAAGTTCAAAGACTATCTGTATGGTAACTCTTTCCAAGTCCGTACTGATAATAATCCTTTGACTTATGTTCTTTCCACTGCGAAACTTGATGCAACGTCTCACCGTTGGTTAGCTTCTTTAGCTAATTTTGATTTTACTATCAGTTATCGCAGTGTTAAGTCAAACGTCGATGCAGACGCACTTTCACGTTTACCTACATCTTCTTGTCCTGGTCCTGTTATATTTTTAGATGTAGTAAAGGCATTTTGCCTTTGTACTTTAGTTATCCACAGGAATCCCCTCTCTTCGAGTGTAATTCTTTTTCTCAGTCTGTGTTAGCCGATGCCAATGGTAGTGAACCGTTAGACACAAATTTTAGTGATATTGACTGGGCTGAAGAACAGGGTAAAGATGTAGCCATAGCACGCATCCGACATTTAGTCCAGGCAGGTCGAAAACCAACTAGACGTCTTTGTTCTTTAGAAGACCCACTTGTAAGACCATATTTTAGGGAATGGTCATCCCTTTTTATCAAAGACCATATTCTTTTTCGCAAAGGAACTGTTTCTGGCCATTTTGTTAATCAGCTTGTTCTTCCGGAAGTTTTCCGTGATATTGTGTTTACAGGCCTTCATGATGATGCCGGACATCAGGGTCGAGAGAGGACTTGTAGTCTGTTAAAATCGAGGTTTTACTGGCCTGGTTTAGAACAGTTTGTTGAACATCGTGTCAAAAACTGCCCCCGCTGTATTTGTCGGAAAACACCATGCAAAGTTTCTGCTGGTTTAGTTCCCATTGAATCTTCTTATCCCCTTGAATTAGTCTGTATGGACTTTCTATCTTTAGAAATGTCTGCAGGCGGTTATGAAAATATACTTGTGATTACTGATCACTTTACCCGCTTTGCACAGGCCATACCTACTAAAAACCAAACGGCCCGTACAACAGCCAAAGTCCTTTTTGAGTCCTTTATATGTCACTATGGCTTTCCAGCCCGTTTACATAGTGACCAGGGTCGAAATTTCGAAAGTGCGGTGATAAGCGAGCTGTGCAAGATTGCCAATATTGACAAGTCTCGCACAACTCCTTATCACCCACAAGGAAATGGAATGGCCGAAAGGTTTAATCAGACCCTTTTGAATATGTTGGGGACCCTGGAAACTAAGCAAAAGCAGAATTGGAAGGCCCATATACCCACTTTAGTCCATGCTTACAATTCTACGAGGCATGAGACCACTGGGCTCACCCCTCATTTTTTGATGTTTGGGAGGCATCCTAGGTTATCCATTGATGCTTTTCTTGGAATCGAACCTGATTCAACATCAGCCAAGAAAAGTCCCTCGGAGTACATTTCTTCTTTAAAGAAACGTCTCCATTTTGCTTATAATGTTGCCAACCGTGAGTCCAGGCGTCAAAGTAAACGACATAAGCGTCGTTATGATTTTAGGGTAAGGGACGCTAAAGTTCAGCGCGGGGATAGAGTTTTAATTAGAAACGTAGGCCTGAAAGGGAAGAACAAGTTGGCTGATAGGTGGGATAAGGAAGTTTATATTGTGACATCCCAACCTAATCCTTCTATACCTGTTTTTCAGGTTAGAAGAGAGCATGGTCGGGGTGGCATAAAAACCCTTCACAGAAATCTTTTGTTGCCTTTTATGGGTTTGCCTGTACGGAAGGCTCAGTTAAACCCCTCTCATGAGAATGATGGACCTGAGCTTCTTGTACAGACCGATCCCATAACTGATTCTTCTTTTAACATTTCAGATAATACACCAGAAAATACAGATGTTCCCAAATATGTCATTCCACAGAGAAGAACATCTACGTTAAATCCCAAAGCTGAAGAATTCGTTCCCAAAAGATCTTCCCGTACAAGACTGAAGCCTGCCTGGTTACGTGACAAACACTGGATTACTTGATATTGATGATTTTACATGTTTTAATTTTGTTATCTTTTATCTTCATGATTGGTGATTTTCTAAAATCTTCACGAATTCCAGTGTTATATTTGCCAGTATATGTAGCATCAAATTTGCATTATTATCTTACATTTATTGTGATAATTGTTGCATTATGAATAAATAAAATTTGAACACGTCGGATTATTTAAAACAAATGTCTGATACAGCGTTTATTTATTTTCTATGTGTATAACTACACAAGAAAGGTATATAATTTATTGTAGTTTTTGTATTTAGATAGAGCTGCAGTCTATCTTAAATACTTTATGAAACATTCCATTGGAATTTATTAAATCATCTTTATTATTAACGTTTCTTATTGATAGAACGTTAATGTAAACTAAATATTCATTATAACCGAAACAACATAGCTGTTGGTGGAATATTTTGTGACTGCTTTGTAAAAAGTAGTTGTATATAGACTTCTGACCCTAGGTATGCAGTTGTATTTATTTTAGATGTATGTAAGATATGGAAATGTCGGGACGACATTTGACTGAGCGGGGAAGGATGTCACAGGGTCATTTGTCATTATATATACATGTATATACTTTACCATTATTATATCCAATATGATATATAGTGCATTTCTTATAAATATATTCTTCCTTATCCATCCATTCTTCATCTCATATTTACTCCCATAGCCTCATTATATCATTCATCATATATCAGACACTAACTATAGTAACTGGTGACGGGCCTCATTTTTTCGCTCATGATTTACCGCCACGCATGCGCACGGCAGATTTGAATTACAGTTGTACAGCCATTCTCCCATAATTGAAGCACTTTTGGTTCACAAAAAATGAAAAATCTGACTTTTTTAAACAACGTTTTCTATGATTTGCTTTTAATGTTCAATATCTTGGACAGATTGTGTGGAAGTTTAACACACACCATTCGCTCCGTTTGTATACTGAAAGCTTTTGAAGTTAGTTACTGAATTACACTGTTACGGAACATATATATACCATAGGAAATACTTTGGAGGTATTGTTTTACTAACATTTTAAATTAAACAATCCAAAAGAATTTGCATTGAAAAGTTGAAGACCAATGGTTACCTTTAGCAAAAATATTTTATGCCATATCTTATTCTGAAATTTGTATACTTCGTATTTGAAAAGCTAGTATAAGCAAATATTTTTGTAACTTAAGATTGACATTGTTTCGATATCATGCACAAACAAATACTGCCATAAAAGTTATCGAATTATATCTAAAATAGAAGCAGAAAACAAATCAAGCATAACTTTTAATCGGTGTAACGTTACCAAAAAAACTACGCTGCACAAATGATCATCAAACAGACCTTATGATCTGTTACGGAACATAGGTGAAAAATTATAAAACATAGGATTTATAACTCAGTAGTTTCACTCTTTAAAATTACTTAAACAATTTAAATGTGGTATCTTCACAAACAACATCAATCATAAAACACTGTATCAATTAAAAATAACATCAACAGTTTAATTTAGTGAGAAGTGCAGGAAAAGATATCTGTTACGGAACATATGGTATGGAAAATAGAATATTATGTTTTTCACTGAAAATGAACAAGAATTCTTTTTTTTTCACTTTTATTTGCTTTATTTCTGCCCCAATTTAACAAATTTGTTGTAAGGTTATA